ATTTGAGGATCATTACTCTGATATGTTTTTGTAGTTTTATTGTCAACCTATTGTTTTCCCCTGAGGTCTTTAATACACAGCTTAATCAGTTTTTCAAYGCTTCACCTAAAACCAGTGTAACTTTATTGTTTTTTTATTTTATTGCAGATGTTTTAAAGTATGAAAAAAGTGTAGTTTGTTAAGAAACATACAGATTCTGCAACAATATTTGTAATGAAATTCCACTTTTAGCATTCAGATCTGTGATTCTCTCCACATTTTCCACATCGTAGAACCCAGATCAGACATCCTGAACCAGAACCATTGGACTTTTTGTTCCAACCTTTCAGAAATGTTATTTAATCAACACTGTTAGATTTTACTCAGGAAAACAGTTTGCTAACATGAAAAATTGTAGAAAAATACCCCAATAAAAATATGAATATGGTATGAATTTACTTGTTATTGTACTTATGAATAACAATCTTGTTAAATAAAAATAGAACACAGGTTGTATGTCACCTGAATCAGAAGAAAGTGGCCCACAGAATGAATGGTTGTGAAATTTGTTTTGTTATTGAAACAATAAATGATGTGCATTCTACTATAAAGTATAAAATTCACATAAAAGCTGGTAAATCCAGATATATTTGACTCATTTTGGAGAAAAAATATTTATTTCTGATCAAATTTATGAGCTAACAACAGTCAGAGCAGAGTCCTGCCATCTTAAAACCTTAAAAACTCCACACCACTAAGCCTTTACGCCACCTTTAACTTTTCCATTAAAGGGCTATTTAAAAAAAAACTGACGTGGCCCTGAGCTGAACTAACAGCAGCTGTTTGTTTTCACAAATGGTTTAAATTATTTGTTAACTGATGCAGATGCAAAGGTTTATAAAAGTTTAAATAAATGGACACCACACTGCTGCTGTCTGAAACAAAAGGAGCTGGCCCATCAGCCACCAGTTTTCTGATTCTGTTGTGGTTCTGTGGGTTCTGAGGGGATTGGTTTTGTAGATTTTCTGCAGGTCTCTGTGTTGTTGATGAGTAGAAAACAAAACAAATTGACCTCTTTAGTTCAGCTCAGACACACAGATCCTGTTTCCTCCTCAGCCTCCTGTCCTGCATCTCATTACACCACAAGGCAAACAGCAGCCTGTTAGCTTCTGTAATGCGATTATCCATCCTCCTCATGTTTTCTGCAGATTCTGCCACACCACCTCACAATCACTAATTGACCCCACGCTGCAGAGCTCAATGGGGACGTCTGCTGCTAATTGTGGCGGTATTTTCAGATACAGTGGGAGTATTAGGCTGTGTTCCACCGTGCACAGGAGGAATTATTCACCAGAGAAGCCCCCACCAGCGCGCATGCCTCAGTGAGAGGCTCTGTGTGTGTCAGTCCTCAGGACGGTGCAGAAACAGTCCTGGCAGCTGCCTCATGCTGTGGACACTGAGAAATAAAGCAAAGCCTGCATAAATCTGGTCGTTTTACTTATTTACAGTTTGTACCAGACCCCCTTAGACCAGGATTTAGTTCAGACTTTTTGTTTTACTGGCTGCTAAAAAACTAAAACTGTAAAAAGCAAGCCCTGCTTGTCAGAAGTCCGGACCATCCCACCCAGGGCCAGCCCAAGCCAATTCAGTGCCCTATTATAGGCAAGGTTTCAGGTGGTGCCCCTTGTATTTTCTAAATCTCACTGTCAATTTACAAACAATCCAATACCAAATTAAATAGTTTTGTCTTTGATGTTATTTTTAATCTTTAGAAACCAGGTTGTCCATTTAAGATAGTCAACAATATAATTAATTTAGCAATGAGGAACACCTGTTCATGTTAACGAGCAGCTGTGGACTGAAGGAAGTCCAGGACTACACTCCCCCAGAAAATATCATAAACAATCTACCCAAAACTCAGAATTTTCCAACCATTTGAAGAGCATTGGGCCTCATGCAAGAACATGTTCGTATTCTTATCCTAAATTTCTCTTACTTTTGTTCGTACAAAGGGTTTGTACGAACATGCCACGTCAGATTCAACAAACTCTTCTATCTTCAGGAAAAGTGTGTAAATGAGCTRCGTAAATTTCACCTGTTCGTATCCAGCTGCTCGTGCACGCGAGAGGAGATTAGCATAATTACCGCCCCAAAAACACCATATAAGGCTATGCCTCAGATACAAGGAAGTGTTCATTCATGAAAAATGACAGCGAAAACTAAAAAGAACTTTACGAGTTCAGAGATTGAAGTCCTGCTGTCAGAGATCCAGAAAAGAAAATCTGTCATTTTTTGCAGGTCAGCTGTGGAATAAAAAGAGCTGCTAAAAGTATAAACAACTGTTAAATCGTTTTCATTTATTCAGAAGCTGCAGCGCTGCTCACCGTCCCCCGTCTAATTAGCAGGTAAATAAGAGAAAACACTGCAGATGTCCAGTAGTTCCTGTTAGTGGGATGACTGCAGACCACGCTGTACCTGTTTGCTTGTTTTACAGTGTGCTAGAGTACCTGCACAGTCTTTGTTATCTGTGGGTTCTATTGTTCTTAACCTGGTGTCAGCTTAGAGCAGTGCCTCCTAAAGTTGGGTCTGAACCCTGCTGTGGGTCCTGGGAGCTTAAGATGGCTTTAGTAAAAATTGT